TTCTCATTTTCTAAAATGAGAGAATAAATATATGCATTCCTCTGCAAACATGAAGTATTTCTAGTTCTTGCCAGAAACTATGGCACAAACCTGAATCATGATCCTCAGCACCACATATAAATAAATAAAGGTCCATCACCTACTAATAAAATATTTAAAAATTAGTCAAAAGGGCTGGGGGTGTAGCTCAGGGGCAGTTCTCTATTTACTTCATTTATTAATGGAAAATTATCCCACTCTCTTTTAAGAATTTTTTCTTAGAGTTTGTTGACTTTAGGATCTGATTTGAAGCAGCCATACACAGGCCATTCTGCTATTTGATGCACTCCTAACTCAGTTTTTACTCAACTTCTCTCTGCAGCCCTGACTGCCTACTGTGTTTGCTACATTCCTGTGGGTTTGTCATGTAAATAGAATCCTTAGGGAGTTTTGAATGTCACTGCTTTCACCTAGCAGTTGCACCATTTCTCTTTTTTGCTTTTTTACCTTTATTTTCCTGGAGTACAACCTCAAGAGACTTCCTCAGAGGTGATACCTCAGAAATGAACTTCTTTATTGCTTGAAGAATTACATCATCTTTATTTTGCACTGCACAATTTAGTACCACTTTGACCAGAGATAGAATTGAAGGTTAGCCGTTTATATATCTGCTGTCAGTGGAATTTGCTTTGTTTTAGGGTATTTATTTATTCTTAGAGTTATGGGATTTCACAGGGATTTGTGTATGTGTGAGATTTTAGGACTCATCTTTTTAGGCGTTCTATGGGACCCTTTTTATTTTTCCTGTATTTTTTTTTAAATCAAACAAAATAATTTATGATTTTTCTTATCTTTCTCTTCATTGTTCTAGGTCATGCCTTTTTACTTATAAGAAAATTCTCTTTGATGTAGAGCTCTATGAGTTTTGACAAAAGTGAAAACAAGACAAATAGGATACAAAAATATTTATTCCATTATCCCCCAAAATATATTCCTGCACCACCTCTTTGTAGTCAACTTTTTCACCTATTCTTAGTTCATAACAACCTCTGATGTATTCCTCATCTTGTAGAATAGAATCCCTAGGAAGAGCCTTGAGTCTAACTTCTTTCCCTTAACAAAATGCCTTTAGGATCAGCTGTGTTGTGTGTATTGCTGGTTTATTTTCTCACTGTGTTGTCTTCCACTGAATGGATATACCACAGTTTGTTCATTATTTCATCAGTTAAGAGACATTGGGTGATTTCTAGTTTAGGATAATTGTGAATAAAGCATCTATAAACATTCATCTACAAGTTGTGTGAACATAGGTTTTCAGTTCATTTAGACAGATCCCTAAAGAGGAGGTTTGTTTTGTATATGGTAAGCCTATGTTTGAATATATACAAATATATAAAACTACTACACTTATCTAAAGGTTACAAAATTTTACATTCTTTTCAACTGTTTATAGAAGTCCCCCACTTCCTTGCCAGCATTTATTTATATGGTACACAGTTTTTAATCTTAAATATTGTGTTAGTATCACATTATGATTTTAATTTTCATTTCTCTAATGACAAATAATATTGCACTTTTATTCATGGGCTAAATTACCATCTGTATGTCTTTAGTGAAGTGTCTTTTCTTATATTTCACATGGTTTATAACTGGGTATTTTCTTATTATTGAGTTAGAATGTATTCATGTAATTTGGATACAGTTCCTTTGTGGAATTTGTACTATGCAAAAAATCATCTCCTTGTTTTCATTTGCTTAATAATGTCTTTTATAGGGTAAGTTTTTTTAAAAAAATTTTGATGAAGTCCAATTTTTTTTAGGGGTTGTGCTTTTAGTGTCATAAGTAAGATCTCATCACCTAAGTCAAAGTCTTCACGGTTTTCTCCTATAGGTTCTTTTTGAAGTTTTTATAGTTTTAGGTTTTACATTGAGTTCTGTGATCCATTTGGAGATTAGAGATCACAGTGGTAATGCTAGGGAACATTTGTGTGTGTGTGTGTGTGTGTGTGTGTGTGTGTGTGTGTGTGTTTGCATCCAGATATATAGATGAAGTCTTTCAGTAGGACTTTTGGAGGGTTGATGCTTCATGTTATGCCATTTTATAAGGGCAATGTCATTCTTAGTCTAAGACACATATCCTTTTTGTTCTGCAGAGAGTATTTGGATATTCTCTTCATCAGCAGTATTTTAAAATTCATGATGAAATACCCTAGCTTGAGACTCTTTTATTCAATGCTCTAGGTATCTGGTGACATCAACATATAAGACTTGTAAACCAAACAATGTTGGCAGATGACATGGATTCAAGGAAGCTCTGGGCCAGCATGTGCAGTACAATAATAGGAAAAAAAAAAAAAAAAGAAGAAGAATAAGGGAGAGGAAGCAAAGGAGATGAATGAAGAGGAATGAGAAGCCTGACAGTTGGAATAGCTGCGTGAGATGATCAGCTGCCCAGAAGGAACTTCCTGGCTTCCGCTGTAAAGACATTGAACTATGTTCTATGGGAGAACTAGAGCAATTTGTGTCCATGTTCGTGACCCAGGGCACATCGCTCTCCATCCTGGCACTTGGCAGACAGAAGTATAGTGGAAAATACTGTGTAGAACTCAAGCTAAAGTTTAGTTTCTCACTGGCCTAAACTCTAGTCAATATGGGCTCTAGTTGTGAATAATAATGAGAGAATCATAATTCACTAGGGCTAGGCAAGTGTGATGGGAGCCTGAGGCAGCAGTAGGGACCCTTTGTGCTTGGTGACCACCAATTTAGAGTGAGACAGGGCAGCATGACTGTGGTTCAACTCCTGCATCATTTATCTGCCAATTAGGGACTAGGCTGGTGGGAGGAGGGACTTTTGCTGACTGACATTTCATAAATCAACTTGTTAAATCTTACAAGTGTCCATTACAATCATTTACTTTTCACCACACCACTTAAATTACCATTGTTACCCAGTTTTTATTTTGGGATTTTGCTAAAGCTAGTGTTTTTTCAAGGGCAAAGATTTAAGAATCTTTGCAAATGAACACCCATCTTATCTGTCCGTGTCTCCTGTGTCCTTATCCCTCATATCATTATCTTTGATAAGTCATGTATGTAGTCTTTTTCTCAAGAGAAAGGAAAATTATAATAACTGGCCCAGAGGCAAAGATATCCCCAAACCTTCATCTATAGCAGTCTTTGAAATATACCAGCCACAATGCAGGAGAACAAAGTGGTGGAAGGAGACAAATTAGTCGCCAAGTTGCCAATGGTACTCAGAATAATGCATTGTGGGGAGGAGGGATGGGGGAAGTTTGGCATGTTACAGACAAGTAGCATCAAATACTTCACTATTGGACTGGGGTTGTGGCTCAGTGGTAGAGCACTTGCCTAGCACGTGTGAGGCACTGGGTTTAATCCTCAGCACCACATAAAAATAAGTAAGTAAAATAAAGGTATTGTATCCAACTACAGCTTTTTGCCTGAGTACCTCTTGAGGAGGAAAAGCAGAAATGGAGCAGAGACAAGATGACCTTCCAGGATATGTGACCTCCTTTGCTTGTTAGGAGATCACTTGATCTACTGTATATATGCCCCCTAGCTCTTGACCTGTGATTCTCTAATCTCAGATACTCTAAGAAGTCTGTGGATGGGGCTGCAAAATGCCCATTGCCAGTCTAACAGGAAATAAGTACAAAAGGTAGAGTAAGAATTTTAAAATGCATAGGAATTTGAAAATGCTGCAGTATTCAAGCACATGAATTTTGTATTTTGTGTGTTTATTGATCCTTGACAATAAATAATACATTAGGATTTTTAAAAACTAAAACTGGTCTATCAGAAATTCTGCTCAATAGACCATTATAGAAACGTAGTACATTTCTCAAGCTATTTTAAAATTTGAAATGATGATCTTTTATGTTTTCCCAAAGAGGATTTTTATGTTTAATTTTCCCATCGTCATACCACACTTAGAAAAATGTTTAAAAGACAAAGATTCTCTGCCAAAATTATTTCACTTCATTGTTATAATGACCAAACCCACTCGGTTTTTCCTTAGGCTACAGCCAGCTCAGGTGTGAAGTTCAGTGAGAAAGAGGCTTCCTACAATTGATGGCTTGTTTCAGTCTTATCAGGAGTAGAATGATCTTCAAAGTCCCTCTTTTAGTTTTTTTCTTCTTGTTGTTGTTTTCCTCATTTTAATTTTTCATTTTCTGTTCCCTTGTTATTTATCTTGCTATTGATTAAAAGGGCAAGCAAGTTGGCTGTTTTGCAGAACTTTATTTGAAACGAAATGAACCTGAAGTAATGCTGCTTTCCAAACTTTTGATTTCTCGCTTCTTTTGACAACGCATCAATGCTGTGATGTTGTTGTTGCTATCATGCAGATTGTTTTTAGTGTCCCCCATCATTGGCTAAAACATCTCAGAGGCTATCTGTGGCTAGCTCCATCTAAGCTAAATGCATGTTGCTCAGGGAAGCTGAGTGTGTGTGTGTGTGTGTGTGTGTGTGTGTGTGTGTGTGTGGTGTGTGTGTGGTGTGTTTGTAAGCTGCAGCAAACGTGTTTGTGTATGTGACAGAAACTGTCACACCTCAACAACTTGACCCTGTTGTTCCCTAGGAGAGACAAAGAGAGCTGAGCACTGTGTTGGTGAGCACAGCCAAAGGTGTTATATTGTGAAATAAAATTTCAAGGACTGAGCTCTTGATACATAAAATATTCACACTTCTGTGTGAAATCTTTTTCTGGATGCCTGTATAATCCCAGAATGTCTAATATGAGCATTGTGCGGAAGTCTAAATTTTCTGAGTTCCTTTCTATAACCAACGCATTATTCTTCACTTGGGTATTATCAACTAGAAAGAAAAAAAGGAATTGGCTGGAATGTCATGAGGCTTCATTTTAATTTAATACCTTCAACTAATTGCAAACAGCATAAATCCCTGCTACTGGTTCCAGGCTTGATTGGAACAGGTGCCTGAGACTCCAACACTAAATAGTCAGGAGGCCAAGACAGAGGCATGGAGGAATGGTAATGCTGGCTGAGAMTAGAGTCACATCCTGACACAGAACATGTCCTGGTGTGCTACAGATCTCAGAGAGAATTTGCTGGTCTTGATTCACTGGTGGGGAGGAGGGGTAGTCAGTGTCCTCATTAGTGCCCAGATCAGAAACATACCCTACCTGGGACCTCAAATGTTAATGTTGGCATCTTTCTCGTGCCCATTAAGAAAATGGTACATGCTGTGGTGTGTTATAAATCCGTTTCCTCTAGGGTTACTACAGAGTTTTTGGGAAGGGAAAGCTCCCAAAGTAGCCTGTCATTGTGAAGCCCAAATTCTTCAGCAGAAGAGCTGAGGAGAAGATTAAGGGTATTAGGGTGCCTATGTCCTGGTGGCTTAAAGCCACATGGAGCTCTGGAGTTTCATTAAATCTTAACAAATACTTAAAAAAAAAAGTGTAATGCACTTTTCTTCATTTTTTAAGCATTATTTTTTTAACTTTTCATTCCAATTTCTTTTTAACTTATACATAAAAATTGTATGTACTTTTGGAACACCACATGATGTTTCAATACACGTATACACTGTGTAGTATTTAAAGCGTATCTACCCCATCAAACACTTATTTACTTATGGTGAAAATATTCAAAATATTTCTTTAGATACAAAAAAAAAAACCACAAATGAAATCCTGTCATTTGTAACAACATGGATGAAACTGAAGATGTTCATGTTCAGTGAAATCAGTCAGGAGTGGGAAGTACCATACACTATTTTCCATAGGGAAAAATTCCTCTATTTATCACAGGACTAATTAAATGAAAAATCATCAAATTTCCAGTAGACTAGCAACATTTATTTAGAGACTGCCTTATATAGATCACCATGCTAGCACTGCAAAGGTAGCATCCCTATTAAACTTATTTATTCTTGCCAAAGCAAATCTTTTATAGGCATAACATATATATATAATTATGTCTTATAGCATAGTTTGCTGTTTTGATTTATCATTCTCCCTCTAGACTGCAAATTTCATAAGGCCAAAGATAAAGTCTTACATATCTATGTATTCCCCCGCCCCCATACAATGTATCCCAGCTTAGTTTTCTACATAATAGAAACTCAAAGAATGCTACCTAAAATGAAATATTGAAGGGATAATAGATTGGTTCTCCACACTGGGTTCAGGTGGCGGATATGACCATAGTTGAGAGACAGATTTAATTATTAATTAACTCAGTTTGTCATTCCAAAGATATTTATCTTGCCCCTCTGTGTCAGCACTCTCTAAGATGCTAAAGCATGTAGGTACAGAAAAGGATGCAGATGGTACAGCCCTTATGAGTCTGWACTTGAGGTTAGGTTCAAGACTCCATTGCCTTATTTCTCTGTTGCACCTGATAAGACTAGGCTATGGAGTTCAGTTCCACTCCATCCCACCCTCATTTCCTAACATTATACCCCTGCCCCCACTCCCAGGATTCCTGTTTGGTTGCCGAGAGAGGTGAGAGAAGGAGTATTTGATTGCCAGAATTTAACTTAACTTCTTTTACGTTAAACTATAATGTATGCAGTGAAAAAAAAAAAAAAAACCTCTGAATTGTGTTAACAATAGATGACTCTTTGCAAGAGAAGAAGTGGGTATACTTGGAGCCAACACAATAAATAAAACCACAATAAAAAAAAACACAAGGGGATAAAAGACAGTTAAAAAAAATGAACAGCTGGGCATAGTGGTGCATGCCTATAATCCCAATGACTTGGTAGGGTAGGCAGGAGGATCACAAGTTTGAAGTCATTCTGGTCAATTTAGTGAGACCCCTTTTCAAAATATAAAAAGATATGGGGATGTAGCTCTGTGATAGAGCTCCCCAGTAGCAGGGTGAAAAAAAACAAAAACAGACTATTAGAAAACAACAAAGTACAAACACAAATGCCAAAATATTTGTATAATTGGAGTCCCTAAAAAAAAAAAAATGAGTCTGGCCAAGGACTTAAAAAAATTAGAAGAAATTTCTCATTTTGAGTAAAATGATAAAAACACAGATCTAAGCACTTCAAAGAATTCCAAGAACAATTAACATGAAGTAATCTCCAGCAAAGCACATCCTTTTACATTTCTTAAAACCAGTGGTAAAGAGAAAACATGAAACAAAGCCGAACAAACACACCCACGTAAAGCCACAATAAACAGATAGGAAGAAAGAATGATAGCAAACATCTTCTATGAAACAATAGAAGTCAGAAATCATTGGAACAGTGGTTTTTCATACCAAAGAAAAATCGAGAATTCATTACCCTGCAAGAGGTCTTTCAAATTAGAGATCTTTGCAGACAAATGAAAGCTGAAAAAAATCATTGTCATTTTTTTATTCACCAAAAGTATGTTAAAAAAAGTTTCTCACCCTGTGCTATGATGCATGCCTGTAATCCCAATGGCTCTGGAAGCTGAGGCAGGAGGATTGTGGTTTCAAAGCCAGTCTCAGCAACTTAGTGAGGCACTAAGCAACTTGTGAGACTCTGTCTCTCATAAAAAAAAAAAAAAAAAAAAAAAAAAAATGTCTGGGGATGTGACTCAGTGGTTGAGTGCCCCTAAGTTCAATTCCTAGTACCAAAAAAAAAAAAAAAAAAAAAAGTTTTTTCAAGCAGAAGAAAAATTTCACTTGGAAGTAAAATGCATCTGCACAATTGAATGAAGATCCCTGAGAAATGGTAATTACATGGGTAAATATACAAAATAATTTTCTTGTTATTTTTGTCTCTTCAAAAGATATTGAGGCCAACAAAATAACATTTCATTGTAGAGTTCATAGCATGCATAGTGATTCATGTTTGGCAACAGTAGCACAAAACCTTAAAGAAGAAATGGAAAATCACTATTAGAAGGTTCTTTAACTATGCATAGCATAATATATCATAACTTATAGGCAGACTCTTGATAAGTTGAAGTTGGATACTGAAATGAACTTCTAAAATAATAACAATTAATAAATAACAGCCAATAAATCAAAAGAAGATACAAAGTTGATTCAGGAAATATATTGAACTATTTCAAAGAAAAGCAGAAAAAGAAAAGAATCAGAAAGATGGAAATGAAATAACAAGATTATAGATATAAAAATCTAACCACATAGATAATCATATTAATGTAAATAATAATTCCAAATAAAAGGCAGGGAATTTTAGTTTCTGCCTACAAGTAACCCACTTTAAATATAAAATCATAAATACATTTGCAATAAAAAAATAGAAAAAGATATTCCAGCATAACTTTAATCAAAAGAATACCAGAGTGCCTCTATTAATGCTGAACAGTATAGATTGCAGAACAAATAAATATGTCAGGGATAAAGATGGTTATTTGATAATAATAAATGGGTCAAGTAACCAAGAGTATGTAATCAACCTAAACTTTGTTCACATAATAGCAAAGCTTTAAAATAATCAAAAGAAAAATAAAGAGAATTAAACATATKTACAATAAAAGTTGGTGACTTCCTTCTCCAGTAATTGAAAGAACAATTAGACAAGAAGTCAGTAAAGTCATCAAAGATTTCATCAAACAATTTTCCCCTAATTGGAAGAGTGATGTACGTACTCTTTTAAAATATACATAAAACATTTATCAAAATAGACTATACTCTCTGTTCCATAAAACATTGTCAATAAATTTAACACTGTTTCATAGTATGCTGAAAAGATTTAACTTATGGTATATAATTTGACCACTATGGATATAAATTAGAAATCCATAGCAGAATTTATCTGGGCAAGCGAGGCACAGCGTTGAATGACTCTAATACCAGCTTCCTTAGCCTGAGTGAGGAGTATTGCAGGTTTGAGGCCAATCTCAGCAATTTAGCAAGATCCTGTCTCAAAATAAAAAATAAAGAGAACTGAGGATGGAACTGAGTGGTAAAACACTTGGGTTCACTCTCCAGTACCAAAAAAAAGAAAGAAAAATTTATCTAGAAACCCCCCCAAATAAGTGAAAATTAAGCAAAACACATTTGAATGATGCAGAGGTCAAGAAGGCRTTCAAAAATAAAATTACAAACATATGTTGAACTGAAGGAAAATGAAAAAACTATATCAAATTCATGAGACAGAAAAAAATAGTACTTAGGGGCATGTTACCACTGAGATGCATCCCAAACCATTTCAATATTTTTTTTAAAGTCTAGCTAAATTGCCTAGGCTGATCTCAAACTTGTAATCTTCCTGCTTTAGCCTCCCAAGTAGCTGGGATTCTAGGCGTGGTTCTCTATGCCTACCTTTATATAGAGTTTTATTGTAATATACAAAATTGGGAAAGAAGAAAGTTTCAAAATTAATAGTCAATTATCTGAGCTTTCATATTGAAAAGCTTAAAACAAAAGTGAATGAAAGGTAAAGAAAGCAAGATAGATAGAAAGCAATAAAGCAATAGAGAAAAATCAATGACTCTAGAAGCTGAGTCTTTGAGCTTACTAAAATTGATAAATTTCTCTTCTGCCTGATCAAGAACAAAAAGAAGAGAACCAAATTACCAAAATCAGAAATGAAGGTCGTTAATGACCACTTATAGACGCTATAGCTATTGTGGTTAATAGACTATATGACAAGTTTACCTCAATACATTGAAAACTGAGACAAATTGAAATATGCACCTTACCAAAGATCAATCAAAAAGGAATAAGTAGCCCAATATATCCATTACACTAGTTGCATTTTTTACTTTAAAATTTCCCCATAAGTAAATCTTCAGGACCAGAGGACTTAACCTTGAAGTTTTGCCAAACACTTAAGAGAAAAAATAATACTACTTTTACAGAAACACTCAGAAAATTGAAAGAAGACCTTTCTATAAGGCTGGTTTAATCTTGATACCAGAAAAAGACATTGTAAAAAAATGGGGGGGGGGAGAAATTGCAGGTCAGCATACCTCATGAATATAAAATGAAAACAGTTAAAAAAATACAAATTGTATTAAATTGAATCATTTAGTGAATTGCAAATAAATACAGCAAAAGGTTTAATACATAATAACCAAGTGGGGTTTATCACAGAAAAGGAGGCTTGGTTTAACATTCTAAAATCATTCAGCATAATTCACCTTTAACATATTAAAAAGAGAAAAAATATATATGATCATGTCAATAGATACAGAGAAATCAACTGACAAACCTACAACATC